CCCCCACACCCTTCACGTTGCAAAGCCAGCGTGTGATCTATGCGAAGCACATCCTGTCCCGGGGGTTGGCCCAGAACTGCTGGGGGTCAGCCTCCCGCCCCCCTTTTCCACCTGCCAGGGTTTCAGGGAAATAAGCACGGGAGGTGAAAAGGCTCCTGACTTTCGCCCGGCCAGAGACCCCCCAACTGGCTCTCTGGGGCGCCCTCCCTCCCCTTCCACTCGAGCCTTAATTCTGCACGTGGGCAGGGGGGCTCCTGTCGCCTCTGGGCCCCCAGTGCTGGGAAGCCATTTGCGGACGAGCCCATCAAGGGGCTCTCCAGGAACCCCCACTTCCCCCTCTGGGCGGGCAGAGCAGGGGGGAGATCAGTGCCAGCCCCCCCCCTTCTTCTGGGCTCCCCTCTCCAGCAACCTTTCTAGGTTTTTTTTAATTTTGTAGTGGGACCTCACTGGAATTTGTATCCTAAGGATTCCCCCCCCCCCCAAAATACACTTTCTAGAAAGAATTCCCCGGTTGTGGGCACGATGTCTCCTGCAGCTCCTCATGTCTATCGGTTGTATTACATGTTCGTTTTTAATTTTATAAGAATCTTTGCAGATCAAATCTGTATTATTTAATTTTGCTCTGTCTTAAAGCTGCTGATGGAAAGAACCATCGGTTTTTGTAAAATAAATTCTCTAATACTCTGGAAATCTCAGCCTTCTTTTTTGCGGGGGGGGGGGGGGTTGGCAAAGCTCCGGATGGGAGTGGGGGTCCCCTCCGACCTCAGCTCCCAGAGGGGCCCAATGCTCGGGGGCTCCATCGTCAGGGTGACTGGGGGACCCTGACTGGTGCCAGGAAGGGGCTGCCGCTCTTTGGCTGGCCACCCCCGGCCACTATTTGCCCCCCCCCCATTGTCGCAAGTGGGGCAGAGAGAGGCGAAGGCAGCGATTCCGACCACATTTAATGTATGTAACAATCCAAGCACACAAAAGTTGCAGGCAACGGAACAACACAGCTACACAAGAGGTTGGCAGGCCCCCACAGGCCTCCGACTGCTGCCAGGCGCTTCTCTCCCTGGAGTAGCCCACCCACCCTATTTCAAGGCTGCCCTTTTAAAACTTCCTTCTCCCCCCCCCTTTAAAATCATACAGAGACAACCCCCCCTCTCAGCCTTGCAACAGCTTAGTGGTTACCACCCCCCCATTGCTCTCGGCTCCCCCTCCCTCAGCCCAACCCCCGTCCCGCCGGTTGGTCCCAACTCTCCTCAAAGGCTTGCAGGTTGCTCCCACGGGCAGGAGGGGGGTCCACAGCCAGGGTGGCCCCCTCCCCTCCAGGTAGGAAGCCTCTGGACTTGCAAGCAAAGGCAAACAATTTCATCACATGCATCAGTCTGGAGGGATGGAGCTCCCCCCCACTCCCACCAGTGCAGAGGGGCTGCTCTCTGCCCCCCCCCCAGCATATGGCTTTGTGTGGACTGGCCCCACTGGGGTGGCCCGAGTGGGGCCAGGAGGTGACAGGTGTCGGTCCCACTGCAGGAGCCCATCAACACTTTGGGTGCCAGACCTCGATGCTCCTTAGTCCCGGCTGGAGGCCCTGCACAGCTCCCGCGCATGGCCTGCAGTACAATTCGAGCGTCCCCGGAGGGGGGGGGGTTGAGGCTGCAGCCTAGGTCAGGGTGATGTAGGCTGAGGCTTTTTCCTTCAGCTGCCGCAGGCACAGATGGCAGCTCCAGCTCCCTGCAAGCCAAAGCAGCCGGGGGTCACAGCCTGGCCTTCTCCGCAGAGGGAGCCCCTCCCTGTCCCGTCCAGCTGGGGCTCCCTTACCTTCAGGGGGTTCGGCCATCGGTGGGCTCAGGCAGTACATGTGGTAGCCGCGGTCGCAGTCATCGCAGAAGAGCAGCTGGTCCTGGGGGGGAGGAAGGGGCCGCCACTGAGAGGCGCATCCGGGACCCCATTCCAAGGGGCAGGGGAAGCAACCCTCCCCCCCCTCCATGGCCGCCATGAATGCGCCTGCCACGGCCTAGAAAAGCGCCACGCTTTCTGCAGGCCACGGCGGGCAGCTCCAGGCAACCCTGCGGGGAGACCTGAGAAGCCACACGGTCCCTCCAGCAGCTGCTCACATACGTCGTTTTCTGAAGTGCCACAGAGGCTGCAGCTTTTGCACTCGATGCATTGCCAGCGGTAGGTCCGCACAGCGGCCGTCATGTTCACCGTGAACTGCAGGCACGACGGGTGCCCTGGTGGGGGGGAAGAACCAGCAGCCCCTGAGCTCGACCTGCGAGGCTGGGCTCCCATCCGGAATGGCCTCCAAGGGCCGGCCGTCCAGCAGGGGAAGCCACAAGGGCTTTGGAGGGGGACCCGGGGCGGAGCGGACGGGGAGCCCTGGCCTCGCACACCCACAACCCAAAGCTCTCCTACAACTCACAAGCCCTGCGGCTTTCCCTACACCCGCCGTCAGGGGACCTGAAGGCACCTGTGTGGTCCAGGGATGAGACGGGTCCCGTCACTGGGCCACAAGGACTCTGCTGGTTGAGCATCCACACAACCGGCTTCACTTGGTTATTGACAGGTGGCAAGGAAGATTCAGACAATAGATCCTATCACGTGCCCAATAAAAGTGCTGTGTGTAGCCACCAAATTCCCAACTGCCGTCTTACTCCCTCCCTCAAAAAAGGGGGAGCGAAGTTTTGGGCCCATGGGTCCCCAGGAGACCCCAAACTCCGTAGCTGCATCATGCCCGCAGGTGCCGCCATTTGGCCAGAGGCTGAGCCGGCTCACCTGAGCGTCCACAATCAGCACAGGAGATTAAGTCCTCCGGGCAGCCAGTCTTCTTGGAGCCGCCTAGACAGAAATCACAATAACCATTTGGTATGACTGTCCCATCCGGAGCTTTCTTAGCTGCAAAACAGCAAGGAGAGGTCGAAATCAGGGGTGGACCCACACGCCCCTCTGTCTTCACCCCCCACCCACCGAGGGGGTTGACACATCCAGCTGGCCACACGCTCGCTCGCGCTCGCTCACTCCCAAACGGCTCTCCCGGGGCTGGAAGTCCCTCGCTCCGGCCTCCTCCGCCTGCCCCCCCCCCCGCCTCGCCTGGGTGCCTAGCAAGCACCTGGCTGTGCACTGCAGAGACCCCCCACCCGCAGCGCCCAGTTTCTGCCAGAACCTGCCACCCAGGCACTCCTCGGGCAGCCTGCTCTGCTAGGTGGGCACACAGCAAAATCTGGCAGTGGCTAAGCTGCCTCATGGAAGCCGCCTGCCCTTCCGCGCTCTGCCCTCCCCTCCCCTGCTTTGGGTTGGGAGGCTGATCCCAGAGGGAGACTTTGGCCGCAGGACAAACAGGTGGGGGGGCGCTTCCTCTCACCCCCCTCGACTCTGGAGAGGCCCCTGGGGGGGGCAGGGGGGAGGCCGCACGGGGGTCCCAGGCAGACCCCACGTTCCCAGCCTCCAACCCCTCAGCGCTGCCCTGGGATTTACCTGCGTGCCTGCGCTGGTTCTCTGGGACCCAGTTCAGCTCTTTGCAAAAGTCTAGAGAAAGCCCGGCAAGATGGCCAGAAGGAGAGAGGGGAAAGGGGGACGTGAGCGCAGGGAGGAGAAGGAAGGAACAGGCTGGATCTGAATCGGGGAACCAGGCCTGGGAGGGGCGCTGGCCGCCTCCGCACCTCCGGCCTGTCGGGACGAGCAGGTGAGCCAGCAAGAAAGCGGGTCTCCCGAAGGGGCGGCGGCCCAGCTGCTTTGGGGGGGAACGGGGGCGCGGGGAGACGGGAGGGAGCTTTCGGGCGGTGCGAGCGAGCGACCCCGCGACCGGCGCCGGCAGAGAGGAAGGCGGGTCTCGGGCGAGGCGGGGGGGGGGGCACCCAGCAGGCCCCCGGCCCCTTTTCTCCAGGGACGGCGGCTCCCCTCCCCCCACCCTCCCGACTGCTTTGTGCTCCAGCGACGGCGCTGGGATCTCCATGGCAACCACCAAGACANCCACCACCACCACCCGTGTGGGGTGGGGAATGCCCTCCTACAGGCCTCTCTGCACATAGGTTTCAGGCTCCTAGTCCTCATGAAGTCAGAGTTTGTGCTTCTTTCTCCCCCCCCCCCAACTAGTCACTCGGCTCTCGTGGCCCCCGGGGGAGGGTCATCACTAAGTACAGTGCCCACCGGGCATCTCCGCACCTGGGCCCCTGTGGGTCTTCTCCATCCAGATGTAGCAGTTGTTCTGAGCGACCCCTGTCTGCGAGTCCAGGAACGGCAGGCGCATGCTGCGCTCGGCGCACAGGCGGGCGTTGTAACTACGGCAGTGCTCGATGGCTTCTCGGTAGAAATCCTCCCCCAGGCTGCAAGAGAAGGCCCGGCCCTTAGCCAGCGCGCCTCGCCCGGCCCGGTCGCCGGCGCGGCTCTCCCAGCAGCACTCGGATCAGAAGCTGCTGGGAGCCGAGGAAGTGGCTCTAGGGATTCCCCGCAGGGGCTGGAGAAGGCCTCCGCCGCCGGCCGCAGCGTGGAGAGAGCCCGCGCCCCCAGAGGCGGCAGGGCACGGGACTCCCGCGTCCCCTCCCACCCCTCAGGAAAACTGGTCCCCAAGAGGAAGTGGCGATGGCCGCGGCTGGCCTGGGAGCAAAGGGGGCGGAGGAGACCATTTGGCCTTGGAAGCGTCCCCTCTCCTGGGGAAGCAGCCCGAGAGGCCCCTTCCCAGAGGGGATCCGGGGACTTTGTCCCTAGCCCGGCAGCGTCTCGGCTCAAAGGCACCGGCTGGGGCACGGCGTTAAGGGGCCTCTGCCCATCTGCTGGACAGGCCCAAGAACGGCCGGGGGGGGGGTACGGGGCGCCTTCAGTTCCTCCCACGGGGAGGCTGAACAACTCCGGCACCGAACAATGGGGGGAAGAGCAGTAGCGGACCCCACCCCGGCGGCCGGGCCGCCTGCTGCTTCGGTTCGCCGTGGCGTCCTGTTGGGGAGAGCCCCGGCCGGCACCTGTTTCCCCGGGCACACCTGTTCCGCTAGCCCTCCTGCAACACGCGTGCCGACAGGCGTCCACGCGGGACAACGGGAAGGACGCCGAGACCAGCCCACGCTGGTGCCGATCCGCCGAACGCGCAGTCACCTCCCCGCGGGGACCTCTCTCCGATGCCTCCCCAACCCTCCCAGCACCAAGCGCCCTCCCCGCGCCCATCTGTACTGCCAGCAACCAGGCAGACCGAGCCTCTCGCTCCCCCCGTCTGCCCCCTCCCTCCTCCTCCTCTCGCCAAGAACAGCTGCCGGAACGGCTGAGCCCCCGCCGCGCGAGGGGAGGGGAGGGGAGGGAGACTCCAGCCATCCCCTCCCCCCCTTTTGGATCCTTGCCCCTCGTGCCTGCCGGGGAATCGTGCCACCCCACCCCCCAGATGTGGGGCACTCACCATTTGATAGACTTGTGCACAGCTGTGGCCATTTTGATACGGGAGAAAATGCCTCACCCAGCCTGGCTGGGTTGGTGGGAGAAGCCACGGATCCCCCTTTCTTTTCTCTCTTTCTTTTTCTTTTTCCCAGCCCCCCCTTTTTTACCTCTCACATCGGAATATACTGTACAATTTTATTCATTCTCGAGCAGCTTGCAGCAAGGGGGGCCAATCACAGTGCAGCTCCTTTGAGCCCGGTGCACCATGGGGAATGTAGTCTCGGTCTTACAAAAGACTTCTCTCCTCCACATACACATGCACGGACACTTTTTGGCATTAATATTTCCCCCTCCTTCCTTTGCAAGCGCTTTACCCGCTGGGGATGGGAAGCGGGCATCTCTCACAGGAGGACTACAACTCCCACAAGGCCATGCGTTTGACAGCTGGGAGACCCACCTCCAGGGGGAGGGGGGTTGGGGATATTAAAAAAATGGGATTAATCGCACTGTAAATGGCATCGCTGCAAGAAGCCGCCCTTCCTTGCCGGGCGCAGCGCGGCTGCCATGGGGCGGGCGGGGGTCTCGGCGCGGAGCAGAGACCGCCAAGGCCGCAATCCGGGCTTGCTGGGTCGACCGCAAGCAGGGAATGCCGAATCGGCCGCGGCAACGCCAAGTCCGCGCAGGCTGCAGGAGTTGCACTGAGTCACCGACCCAGGCTCCGGAACCGATAGGGGGCTCCCGAGCATGTGCAGAGGGCTTCCAGGCATGAAAGAGCTCGGTTAAGGGCAGCAGGTCGAGCAGCCCCGCAGTTTCTCTACCGCTCGGCGACCTCCACCCATTTCCCCCGTCCCCTTTCGCCCTCCTGCCGAAGAACCGGGGTGAGGGCGGGTGGAGGAGGGGGCTTCCACTCAACTGAGCCGGAAACGCCCTCGAAGGACCCGTGGGGGGGGGGCTTCAACCGCCCCTCTTTCGGCCCTTCCCGCCTGGGTCTTTTGCCCGAGAAGCCGCCGGTGAGGGTCTCCCCCGCTCCCTCCGCTGGGCAAAGGCGTCCCGGCGGCGGCCTTTGCCCCTTCTTCCCCGGGGCTGCCAGTGCCTCCCTGCCAGAGGTTCGCGCAAGAGCGCTGCGAGGTTTGGGGGGCCAGACGCCCTGACGGGGAGAGGCGGAGGTCTGGGTGGGAAGCGAGGCGGCGGCCTTCCGCGAGCCCCACCAGCCGTTCGGCCGCCCGGCTGCCCCCGCGCTGCCCAAGGCGCCTGAAGGGGCTTCTGCTGCCCGCCTGCCCGCCCCTCCGCTGGGCGCTTTCGCTCTTCCTTCGTCGGCGCCGCTCAGCGGAGAAACGGGAGCTGTGCGCTCGGGGCGCCCTCAAGGCGGCATCGCGAGGTCCCGTTGCCTTCAGGCCTTGCTGCCCGCTCCGCAACCCCCCTGCCTCGGATTCCAATTGCGCTAAAACCCCGGATTCAGGCGACGTCCCCCGCCGGCTGTGTTGGGACTGGCCCTGCGGGGGGGGGGGTGTAACCGCGGCCTGGCCAGGGTGCCTCAGTGCTCCTGCGGGACGCATTGGCTCCTTGGGAGCCACCGAGTCCAGGCTGAAGGGTTCCTCCACAGGGTGCTAAAATGGGGAAGGGGCCAAGCCTGAGAAGCCAAGGCCTGGCTGGGCAGTGACAGACTCCCAGCCACGTTTGTGGGCACCATTGGCAGGAGCACCATCAGTTGGCAGCAGACGATGTCCTGGCATACCAATCCAGAAAATTGGTCCTGGAGGCACCAAAACCCCATAACCTCCTTGGTTCAGCCCCCAAAGTATCCAACAGGACTGCAGAGGCTGCAAATGGGCCCAAGCCAAGAAGCCCCCTGCCCACATTTCCATTTCTTATGCTGAGAGGCTCAGGGCTTCCCACTTCTGCCCCCTTCAACACCCCCCTCCCCCCCCCCTAAGAGAAACAAACATTGCAATGGGGGGTTATATTACTGGGTCTGTTGTTTATTATATAATACAAATAGGTGGGATTCTTTAATACAAAAAGTTTCAAAATAAGATAAAAAATAATACCCTCTGCCATTTTTGGAAACCTCCAGGCAGTCTGGTCAGGAGAGGCGTTCCTCGGCTTCCATCTTCTCTGCTCGCCCAAGGTGAGGGGGGGGGAAGCAAGGGCAGTTCTGCTTTTGGAGGAGGGG